GCACAAAAGTCAGTAGCTACAACCAGCTGAGGCAGAGGCCCAGGGGTCAGATGCAGGTCCTTCAGCCCAAGCTGTACTGGAAGAGATGAAACAGATGTGGGGGAGGGACATGACTCCCTCTGAGGGCAATGTCCTCATGGCCATGTTCCTACTACAGTCATTCTGTTATCCTGAAGAACTTTGGTAATGCATGAAGGTGGGGTCCCAGGTTAGAGCTTGGCATGAAGACCCTGGTTTGTGTCCTTGTCTCTTTACAGGTGAATTAGGCCAAATAAAAGGCCTGAGACTATACTTGACTACTTGTGAGGTTCACTGGTACTTTATGAATTTAAGAGTCACTGTATCTAGGGTAGACATTATAAGGGACAGCTGTTTTCTAGAAGTACTTTGACCTTGAAGAATTTTCAGTGATTGTTTGGCTGAAGGGCCATTGTAGCCATTCCATGACTTTGGTTACAAGAGGCCTTTGGCACACTTGAGACTCTTGTATTATTGTGTTTTACAAATGACACCTAATAAAGGACTAGAGTCCAGGGGACATGTGTTGTTCTTCTCAGTAAGACATGTAAATTAGAGCCAGGAGATGGTGGTTCATGCCTTTAATCCCAGTACTTGGGAGGCAAAGGGCATTCGAATCTCTGAGTTCAAGATGAACTTGAGCTACAAGAGGTAGTTCCAGGACAGCCTCCAAAGCCACAGAGGAACCCTGTCTAAAAAAAAAAACCCAAAAACCAACCAAACAAAAAGACCATCACTGAAGGGAAGTTGGGGCAGGAACTGAAACATGCCGTTGAAGGACAGTGCTAACTGGCTCGTTCCCCATAACTTACTCAGCCTGCTTTCTTTCTTTCTTCCTTCCTTCCTTCCTTCCTTCCTTCCTTCCTTCCTTCCTTTCTTGGTTTTGCCATTACCTGATTGTGAAGGGTAGAGGTCAATGTTGCAGTCAGCATGCCCCTTCCATTAAATGGGTGTCCAGAATCAAACTCAGATTGCCAAGGTTGGCCCCAGGTACTCTTTACCCATTGAGTAAAAAAATTTTTTTTGAGACATGGTTTCTCTGTGGCTTTGGAGGCTGTCCTGTAACTCGCTCTTGTAGACCAGCCTGGTCTCAAACTCATAGAAATTCACCTGTCTCTGCCTCCTGAGTGCTGGGATTAAAGGCGTGCGCCACCAACGCATGACTCATTGAGCAATCTTAACTACCTGTATTTTGTATCCCTAAGAATAAAGAAAAAACAAAACCTGGGACACGACATTCTTTATTGCTATCTGCTTATACAGACATAAGCAAGCACAAAGATGAGGCTCAAAGACTCATTAACAAAACAGAGACAGGACAGTTGTGGTGCCCTTAACATTTGCTGAAGGAGGCAGAGGCAGGACTATCACAGCTTCGAGGCCAGCCTGAGCTATACATTGCCAGCACTCAGGAGGCAGATCTCTGAGTTTGAGGGCAGCCTGAACCACAGAGTTAGTTTCAGGACAGCCAAGGCTACACAGAGAAACCCTGTTATGTAAAACCAAAAAATAAAATAAAGACAGGCATGACTGGGAATTCATTATGCAGATTCTAGGAACTGGCAATAACTTAGGACAGGACATGGACCTTTGCTCATCTCCTGGAGGTCATAATGTACAGTTAGCCAGTCAGAGTTGGGAACCTTGAAGCTTAGTGCCCCACAGTCAGGTGACCTACAAGCTGGGTTTGCTGGCATCTGTTGGAGACCCCATTAACCTCTAAGTGGCAGGAAGAGGATGAGGGGTCCATGGCCAGCCTGCTCATCCCCTATTCTTTTGCCTTTTGTCTTTTGTTCTGCTTAGGCCATCTTTGAGGTCCCCACAGCCCCTCCTAGCCTGAGTATCCTGGATTGCAGTCTGATGCTCATTCATCAACGCTCCCTTTCCTCAAACCTTGGCTTTGTCTACATCACTATTTTGAAGGACCACAATCTTCAGAAGCAGATTAAAGACTGGGAAGCACAGCACAGAGAGAATATCTGGTCCTCAGGATCTCACCATCACTTTGTCTGCTGGAGAAAGGCCCTGCAGGGGCATTCCTGACAGGAGCTCCATTTGGAAATGGAGGACTTCTTCCTCTCTCCACAAGACATGCATCCTGACTATGCCAGAGTGCTCAGCAATGTCAGCCTCCTTGTTCTGTGCTCACTGCACGTGGTTGTTTCCATCGCGCTGAGCAATGTTCAAAACCATGTGTTCTGGAGTCCTCTGGATGAGAGGCCTGTCTTATGCATTCATGTCTGATGGGGGAAGTCCTGTACATTTGTTAATAAAGCACTGTTGAGCCTATAGGAATCTAGATAGGTGGGACTAGGAGTCCAGGAGGATTCTGGGAAGGAGAAACACAAAGGAGTTCGAGATGTAACCATCATGGGGTAGGAAGCCCGGAACTATTCTCCGGTAAGAGAAATAGTTAGATTAACAATTATGGGGTAATTACTTAAGTCAAAGCTAGCCAGTAAGAAACAAGCAAAGGTCAACAGCTTCATAATTAATATAGCCTCCTGTGTGTTTATTTGGGACTGATGCGGCTCTAGAACCAGGTGGGTGGGAAGGCTTCTCTCAAAGAAAAAGCTTCTCTTTACAAAATGGTTGTCAGAAGCAGGATTGAATTTCCACGTAGAATGACAAAAGCTTTAAAGGAATTTTAGAAACAGAAGAACAGAGAGAAGCACAGATTTTTGGTAGCAGCATTTTCTCAGGCGGGCTCTGTTTTGTTAGCAGCAAGAAACTGGCTTAAGCTTTTGGTGGATGCCAGCATGGACTGAGGCGGTAAACTGGAATCACGCTTACGCCTGCCATCTTGGAAACGGCAGTTTAAAACAGCCGCAGTTTTACAGATAAGACACGTGGCCAGAAAAATGTAAAGATTTACAGTAAAGTCAGACTTGGATGAACAAAACCTCTAAAGGTTTACAGTGTGTTTAAAAATATACGTGAGATTGAGAGAGAAAATGAAACGGCAAAGTGGTATATAAATACAAAAGCCGGTGTTGTGGTGGCGCACGCCGGTAGGATTTACTCCAGAGGCAGAGGCAGGCGGATTTCCAAAGATAAACCCTGTCTCAAAGAAAAATAAATAAAAGTAAAATAAATAAAGTAATAATAGATAAATAAATAAGCCACGTAACAATGAAAAATACACAGAGAGTCTGGATACTGTATGCTATTGTGTTTTTCAGTTTTTTTGCTTGCTCAAGAAAGAACTGCTACTAAAGTATACTTGATTATAAATGCTGCTAAATTAATCCAACTTATATCTTTTGAAAATACCTTGTCTTCAAAATTTAAGTATACGGATATGTTACTTGGAAAAGGAGTTTTTATTTATGTTTCTACAGAAAATAAAAAGCTGAGGATTCCTTCCAGGCTTCTGTGGTTTGACGAACCAAGACCCCCGGAAGCAATGGACCAGGTGTTCCAACAATTGAGACAGCTAAGATGATGGAGCTTTACAGACCCCGAAAATACGAACTTATACTGGTTTCTGAGTTTTGTCATGATCCGCATGGTATGAACAGCGCCCCCTTCCAGCATGAAGCAGTTTGGAATGAGCTACATCCTAATTCCCATCTTGTCTATAAATCTTTGTTTTCATTTAAATGGGATTGTTTATAATTGGTTAATGATCACAACCAATCTCTTTTTAATGGTAAAAAGGAGAGTTATGATATGGTTATTGTTTTTCATTTATTGATACAACTTCAAGGTCCATTTTGTGATGTGTATATTTCTCCTCTTGATTAAGTATTGTGCTTATACTGACCTTTAAAATGTAATGCATAATTGAATACAGACTATAGGTAGTTACTTATAATAGAACTTATAGTTAGGTAAGTTAGGTTTTCTAGATATACAAAAATATATTTGAGATAGATAGGCAATCTTCAAACCTTTCAAAGACCTTCAGAAAATGGCATTTAAAAGGGTTTAGGGTTTTTCTTGACAATGAGAAATGTCTGCTCCTGGCAGCACCAATTACGTCTGAGATGGGCATCCAAGAAACTCGTTATGGAGTTTGCTTTCAACACGGCAAGATTAGCCATTTGGGCAAGAAATTGCTCTTGCCTAGACTGTTTGACTGTTGTTGTATAATCTGGACATGCAGGACCCACAGGAAAGTGACTGCTGAACTCAGTCTTACAGGGTTCCTGCTTCATGGAAGAGTCTACGAGACTTTCTGCAGGACACAGAAAAATGACTGACAGACTGCCAATGCAGATGGACAGTTTGAAATTTCCTGCTTTGCTGAGAAATCTTCTGGACACACTGTGGCCTATGGGCTGAAGATGGATGCCCCAACGTTACAGAGGACCTTTGGGTGACTGTCCAGGCAGTAAGATATCTCTGTCAATCCTAGTGTTTACATATTATCCTTCTGTGGTCTTTGATGGAGTTGAAGACAGATAGTTATAATTATAGTTTTCCTTAGTTATGATAAAAGATAAGCTACATATAGAACTTTGGACTCACAAGGATGGGATGGATGATATTTTCTTTAAATCTTGCTAAAATATTGTAACTATGTTCTTACTTGATAACTGTTCTATTATATATAATTTGACTATGTTAAAGTTAAGACCTTTCTTTTTGTTTAAACAGAAAAGAGGAGATGATGGGGGAAGTCCTGTACATTTGTTAATAAAGCACTGTTGAGCCAATAGGAATCTAGATAGGTGGGACTAGGAGTCCAGGAGGATTCTGGGAAGGAGAAACACAGAGGAGTTCGAGATGTAACCATCATGGGGTAGGAAGCCCGGAACTATTCTCCGGTAAGAGAAATAGTTAGATTAACAATTATGGGGTAATTACTTAAGTCAAAGCTAGCCAGTAAGAAACAAGCAAAGGCCAACAGCTTCATAATTAATATAGCCTCCTGTGTGTTTATTTGGGACTGATGCGGCTCTAGAACCAGGTGGGTGGGAAGGCTTCTCTCAAAGAAAAAGCTTCCCTTTACACATGTCTTATTACCCAGAGGGAACTTAGAGTGGGCACTCACAAAGCGTGGTCTCCAGTTCATGCATATAACGTTGGCCACAGTCATAGCAGGCAGTGCTCCCAAAGCGGAGTGCCTTGAACTGCCTTATAGAGAAGAGTGTGTCCTTGAGCTCAGCACAACGTTGGGAAAATTCTTCTACTTGGATATAGCCAGAGTCATCATAGACCTCCTTAGGAGCTGGGTACAGCTCCCTAGTCAGCTGTCTGAGGTTGGCAGTGTGGTGCAAAAGTTCTCTCAGCACATCTGTGGAGAAGTCATTGTCGATGAGATTGATGGTGGTGAGCTGGGAGAGTTGGCTCAGGGCAGGAAGAAGGACCCTGATGTCAGCATCCTTCATCCCACAGTCTTTTATTTTCAGGGTTTGCAGGGTGTCTGCGACACTCTCTAAGAAAATTCTGAGAGGCGTGAAATCCAAATCACTTAAAATGAGGCCTCTCAACTGAAGGTGTTTAAGTCTGGAGTGATTCCACTGGGCAAAGGAATCCAAGTCTGACTGTGAGAACTTGCAGAGAGAGATGGTTAGGCACGCCAAGGGAGTCGTCAGGCACCTAAGGAGAGACCGTTTGAAACATACTGGTGAGTTTATAGTAGAGGTAGAGGGGACCACATAGCCAGGGTGAGTGTGGCCATGGGATTGCAATGAACACAGTCTTTGCCCATTGGATTCCACTTACTCAGGTCACACCCCTTTCACCCTGGGGCATCACCTTCAGGGTGGGATGGCACATTCCACAGCTACCTTTCCTGTTCTTCAGTGATAAGCAGACACCCACAGTTGCTATGGATACCATTAGGCTACAGGGCCCACAGGAAGAGAAAGAAGGGACCCACATGGCCACAAGTCAGGTTGCCTCCTGAAGAATCATCGACTCCTTGTCACAATGTCTGCACCTGTTCACTCTTCAGCACTGACTGACTCAACCTCAGCTTTTCCACTTCCTGTCCACTTAGTCCACTCCTGCTCTCAATAGAGGCTTACACTGTTTGGGAATTAGGGGCAGACTGGGATGGGTTCTCCCAGATCTAAACACAGGGCTCACCTGGGAAACTGCATATGTCTGAGTCCTCCCCTCCCTGTGCATACCCTCTTCTTTGTCCTGTTCCTCCACATTAGATCAGACAGGATTGCTCTGGAGGAAACTGCAACCCACCCTCACTAGACCTAACTCACAGGATTGTCCTACCATGGCGGCTCTGTCCAGACAGCCCATGCCACTTCATTGTTCAGCTTTATACGTGGCCATGAGGGCCCTTGAATCAGTTCACATGGGATAAGATCACCCTTACATATTCATTGTGAAATGCACAGTGCTCTGCAGAATCCAGGTGCCTGCTACTCTCTCATGTAGAAAAGAAAGATTTTCCCTGGTAGCAGAAACTGCTCTCCATCTTTCTTACCTAAGCAACTGTGCCACGTGGTCATTGAGGAAGTAGACATCCTCTATGGTGAGATCCTGCAGAAGGCTGAGTTTGGAAAAGAGAGAAATGACTTTGGAGACATGCTTCTCCTCTGTGTCAGGAAATGTCCTTCCTTGGAAGACACGTACTAGCAGCACTTTGTGAAGACTCTTCATCTTTGTGATGTAAGGTACAAACTTTGCCAGTGTGGAGAGACTCCACACTGTATTCAATTCCAACTCCTCGATGAACTCTGGCTGTAAAAATTTTAAGACGTTCCTGACACTGTGGAATGATAATGTCCCAATTGTCAGCTTCACACAGCACAGCTGCAGGGAAGCCTTTCTCTTCTCTATCCACTGCAACAGCTGTGTCTGGTATTCGTCCTGGGGGAGCTGAAGTTCAGTGACGACCTCCAAACGATGCTTCAGTATGGATGTAGAGCGGTAATTCTTTCCTTGGACGTTCCTCAAGTCAACCACTTGAAGCTTCTGCCCTCTGTGGATAAAAGTGAAGTGACAGAAGGTAAATTGAACCCAAAACTGTTTTCTCCATCTCTGATGGAGTCCCCCTCCTCCAGTCTGCTCTGTCTTCTTCATATTGGTGGTTTTCAGTGTTGGGTCTCCAACACAGAACCTCAAGTTGGCCATGCTATAATTCTTAGCCTTAGCTACATGTGCTACATCTGTCCTGTTTCCCTCCATTCAGTAGCTCTGGAGTTCTCTCAGCTCTTATTTCCATTACCTGGTGGAGACACAGGGACAGGGTCATTCTCCTTTGACTACATCGACTCCAAGAGGCATCTCAAACTTAATTGATGCTTGCTATGTGGGCTCAACAGCTGCCATGGCCTCACCCAATATACCAGCAAAAGTGTCTGGCCCACCTTTGGCCCCATACTCACTGAGCCCAGAAGTTTCTTCCATATACCCCAGGGTGTGCTATTTGGCATTATATGGTTATTGCTTACCTGGGGCAAAACCTTCGTCTCAGCCATGTGTCTACCCCATCCAACATAGCCTGGTGGGTCTCCAAGGTGGGGTTGCTCATCAGCAACCCAACAGGAAGATGAGGGTAGGGCCACTGTGCCACCAGGACCTTAATCAAACTTGCTTTTCTCTGAGTGTTGGCCTCCTTGAACAGTGGGGGAAAGAGATCATTTGGCAGGTCCTGCAGAACAGACTTGGCCAAGGTTTCATTCTTTACCAGGCTCTGTGCTGCCAGCTGCAGGAGTGTGAGAGGGTCCTGGAAATTCATTCTGAGTTTAGGGAGATGATCCCAGCTGGGGAGAATTTGGGAGAGAACATATTGTCAGAGTCTTTCTTAGGAAGCTTTCTCCCCCTCAGTGAACATCTGTCATCACTCTGGCCTTGGAGACTTGGGGTTAGTCATCACAGTCATTTCACTCTGAATCCCATACCCTTTGGAAGGATGAATCCAGAAAGGAAAAATCTGAGCTCCATTCCTTCTGGCAAAAAGGACACTAACCACCTCTTAGGGACAATGGGAATGTTATGTGCTCACCCTACCCATATTATGCTTTCAACTAACTGATTCTGCCTAGAGAATCTGTGAAATGTGTGCTTGCTTTAATTTTCAAAGATTTAGATCCTGGTTTGTGGCACCTAGCTATATCATACTACTCTGTAGTAGAGAGTGCACTAGGTGTTTGTTTGGAGGGCTGGTGGAAGGTTCTGTCTTTGTATCAACTTGTTTTTGTTGAGACAGGTTTTCACTATGTTGCCTACAGCTAGTTGTGTAGTCAAGGCTGAACTCAACTCACCCTAAGATCCTAGAATTTTACACTAGCCAATCTGATGTGACCTTATTGCTCAGTGTGTTGTCATTCAAGCATTTGCCTTTCAAGTCCTGCATGAAGTCAGTCTGGTTGGCAAGAGACTAAAATTTCATTACTTTTGAGGCAGATGCAGGATGATCCCATCCAATCTAGTTTATAGTAGTTTGAGGCCAGGCGAGTAATAGAGATTTCAAAAACAATTCTATTGATGGGTTCCCTTGGTTTTGACTGAGGTTGTTTGGTACTGGGCTGTGATCAGATGCTGGCCCATTGTAGACCAGCGCTCTTCCACTGAGCTGCATTCAACTCAATCATTCCCTTTTATTTTACAGAGAGACAAAGTTACTCTTGGACCCCATGCTTTCCTAGAACATGGAATTGGCTTCCTCACATCTCTAGTGTTAGGATTCCTGGCTTCTTTTTATGTTAGCTTGAGGTATGAACTTGTCAAATTGACCAAGTAGAAGTCATTGTTTTCCCACAGGCACTGTCCCAAGTACCACTGTCTTGGGGCCCCTCTTAACGAAATCATCCCCTGGCTTGTTTTTCAAGATAATGATATAAATTCAATTAGGTGGGTGGTGATGGCACATGCCTCTAATCCCAACCTTGAGAGGCAGAGGCACATCAGCATGGCTTACTGAGTGAGTTGTAGGACAGCCAGGGCTAAACAGAGAAACCCTGTCTCAAAAAAATTAAACAAGGTATCAGGAAGGTTGAGTTGGGGGAAGAATAGAGGAGAGTAGGATGAGAGATACCATAATAGAGGGAGTCATTCTAGATTTGAGGGGAGATTTGGCACTTGTGAGAACTCCAGAGATCTACAAGGATGACACCAACTGGCAACCTAAGTAGTAGTGGAGAGACTACTTTAAATGCCCCTCCCTAATAATGATTTTGATGACTATCTTACATACCATCCAGTGACAGACAGAAGCAGAGGCAGACATCTACAGCTAAACACTGAACTGAACTCCTGGAACCCAATGACAGAGAGGGAGGAGTGATGAGCAAAGAGGTCAAGACTGGGCTGGTGAAACCCAGAGAACCAGCTAACCTGAACAAGCGGGAGATCTTGGACCCTAGACTGATGGCTGAGAAGTCAGCCTGGGACTGATCCAGACCCCCTGGATGTAGGTGTCAGTGAGGACACCCAGGCAATCTATGGGGCTTTAGGTAGTAGATCAGTATTTATCCCTGGCATACAAATGGACTTTGGGTGTTCATCCCACCATGAGGGATGCTCTCTCAATCTGGACACTTGGGGGAGGGCCTGAGCCCTCCCTGGAACGAAATGATAGACTCTAGAGATCCCATGGAGGGCCTTACCCTCCCTGGGGAATGGAGTAGGGACTGGATGGGGGACTGGGGGGGGTTGGTGGGGGGGGAGTGGGCATGGAGGGGAGGGAGAGGGAACTAGGACTGACATGGGAAGTAAGCTTGGTTCTAATTTAAATATATAATAAAAAGTGTTGTTTGTTTGTTTGTTTGTTTTGAGACAGGGTTTCTCTGTATTGTTTTGGAGCCTGTCCTGGAACTCACTCGGTAGACCAGGCTGGTCTCGAACTAAGAGATCCTCTTGCCTCTGCCTCTGGAGTGCTGGGATTAAAGCATGCGCCACCAATGCCCGCCTGTAAAAAAGTGTTAAAAATAAAAAAAAATTAAACAAAACAATTTTCTATTTTTTTCTTTTGGTTTTTTCGAGACAGGATTTCTCTGTGGCTTTGGAGGCTGTCCTGGAACTTTCTTGGTAGTCCAGGCTGGTCTCGAACTTACAGAGATCCACCTGCCTCTGCCTCCCGAGTGCTGGGATTAAAGGCATGCACCACCAACGCCCAGCCTACAATTTTCTATTTCAATCAAAGAACAAAACTGCAACCCATGAAGTCTAATTCCTGGGATTACAAACACATTAAGCAAAATGAAGCGGGACAGTGGAGGTGCACGCCTTTAATCCCAGCTCTGGGGAGGCAGAGGCAGGCGGATCTCTGTGAGTTTGAGACCAGCCTGGTTACAAGAGCTAGTCCAGGACAGTCTCCAAAGTCAGAGAAACCAAAAAAGAAAAAAAAAGGAAACAAAGGAAGACCATATCAAAGGTGTTGGCATACGCCTTTAATCACACCTCTTGGAAGGCAGAGGCAGGTGGATTTCAGTGAGTTCAAGGCCAGGCTGATCTACAGAGTGAGATCCAAGATATTACACAGTTGTGGTCTCTCTTGGTAACTGAAACCAACAGTAGCAGAGACAGAGCTAAACAGCCAGACACATAAAAACAGTCTAGGCTCTGTGAAGCCATGCCTCAAAAGCCCTCAAAGAACTGAACAACCTAAAACTTACCTAAATTACAGTGTATGTCATTTCTCATTAAAAAAAAAGAAAACACCGAAATCTTTGGGCTGTCTTGGCACATGCCTTTAATCCCAGCACTCAAGAGGCAAATGCAAGTAGATCTCTGTGAGTTCAAGGCCACAGTGTCAACAGTGTGAGGTCCAGGGCAACAGAAAAACCCTGTCTCTAAAAAAATCAAGTAAACAAACAAACAAACAAAAAACAGAACTAAATCAAGACTAACATACAAACAAAAACTTATTCCAGCTAGCCTCTTAAAGGAATTTTATTTTTATATTTTTGGTTGTGAACCTAGCCTTTAAAGGCTGAGACATCTCTTCAGCCCAGGAATTTTATTTTTATTTTTTGTTTTTGGGGGTTTTCGAGGGACAGGGTTTCTCTGTGGCTTTGGAGGCTGTCTTGAAACTAGCTCTTGTAGACCAGGCTGGTCTCGAATTCAGAGATCCACCTGCCTCTGCCTCCCAAATGCTGGGATTAAAGGTGTTCACCACCATCGCCCGGCAATTTCAATTTTAAAATAATAATATTGATTTTGGCATATGGCTATTGGAACTGCATGTATGCATGTGCATTATTTTCTTGAAGTGCCCACCTCAACAGAAGGCTTTATATACCTTACAAATGCCTGTGATCTATGATGTGGGTCCTGGGACTGGAACCCAGGTTATAGAAGAACAGCCAGAGCGGTGTCTCATCAGCTTTGCCATCTCTTCAGTCATGGAGAGAATTTTAAAGCCCGGGTCATAACACGTAGCTGAATTACTCAGAGTGCAGGTGGATCTCTGAAGTTTACATGATTTTTTTTTGCAGTTCATAAAAATATATAAAAGTTTTAGATACTGGGCAGTGGTGGTACACACCTTTAGTCCCAGCAATTAGGAGGCAGAAGTAGGCAGATCTCTGTGAGTTCAAGACCAGCCTGATCTACAAGAGCTAGTTCCAGGTCAGCCTCCAAAGCCACAGAGAAACCCTGTCTCCAAAACCAAAACCAATACAACAACAACAAAAAAAGACAATTACTTGAGATGAACCAGAACACTGTGGAGCATGCAGGCTGTTCCAGCACTTAGGAGGCCAAGGCAGGAGGATCTTGATCCCCAACCTAGTGCAGCATTCTGGCCATGTCTAGGAGACCCTGTGCAGCACAGTGAAACCCCCCTGTCTCAACAGCCGAAATTAAACCAAGCAAGCACAGAGGACACTAGAGAAGAAAGTGAACCTGGGTTTTGAAGCCCGGTGTCTTCTACCTGTCCATGAAGAGACAGACTGGAGGATGCCCCATGCTGTCTTATGTCTAAAATGTCTCTGAAGTAGTTCGGGTGTCCTGATGGAGGTAAAGGACTTACCTGATCTGGACAGTGGTGACAGGCTCCGAAGCTCCGAGTGTCTTCTCTGGCTCTAATGTCACTTTTACAGAACTTTCTCCTCTCACCCCTGAGCAGCTGCACCACCAACAAAAGTTGCCATCTGACTGGATGATTTTGCTCTACCCATTTAATCTTCTATGGAACTTCTTTCTCAATTCACTTTCAACCAAAGCTCCAAGGGTCACGAAGAAACAAAGACAGTTCAGACCCTAGGATGAGTATCAGGAGTCCACGCACGGATTCCCTTCACAACACTGACTTCGTAATTCATTCATTTATTTACTTCCTTATGCTCTTGGCTCATGAATGACTTCTGGGACGGATGATCTTGTTTTGGAATCTCCACAATCCTCCAGCCTCATCCTTCCTTCAGCTGGCTGAATTTTATTCATATGTTTCCCACATTGTTCTGAGTAAGAGTCAGCTCAGGTTTTATCTGTGTCTGATAATAGGTAAAAAGTAAGACAACAGAGCTGGGTGTTGGTGGCACACACCTTTAATCCCAGCCCTGGGGAGGGAGAGGCAGGCGGATCTTTTGCAGTCGAGGACAGCCTGGTCTACAGAGCGCGTTCCAGGACAGGCTTCAAAGTAATACAGAGAAACCCTGTCTCTTTAAAATAAAATCAATCAAAAGAGATGAAGGAGGTCATTACATACTCATCACAGGCGAAATCCACCAAGATGAAGTGTCTATCCTGAACAGTTATGCCCCAAATACAAAGGCATCCACATTCGTAAAAGAA